GACGGGCTTGAAATAATAATCTCGACTTAGACCAAAAAATAATATTGGGCTCGGAATTAAATAATTGGGCTTTAGCTTGTAAGATTAGAAATGTTACTTGGGCTCGGTAAATTGGACTTGGGTTAAGAAATTAAATACCGTTAATGGACCGAATAAATAATGTTGAGCTAAATATATAATTCTGGGTCGGGGCTTACAATTCATATGCGGCCTGAAGTATGATCTAGCGGCTGAGGTACATCTGGAATGGCCCGAGACCATGCACGCCGGTATGGAAGTCGCCCGGCGATGCGAGGACCACCTAGCGGCCACGCGAAGGGAACAGGCAGACGGATGCTTCACCGATACACGCCGCGCAGGCCCAAGACAACTGACCGCGGGCGCACGATCGGCCATCAGCGCTCGACCAACGGGGCCAGAAGTCAAGCATCTTACGGTTGAGGAAATTAATCGCCGACGCGAGAAAGGTCTCTGTTTCAAGTGTGAAGAGAAGTTCACACTGGGCCATCGATGTAAGCAGGCGTTCGTAATCGAAATCATCGACCAGGAAGAAGAGGAGTGTGAAGATGAGGAAAACATAGAAAGTGAAGGCGAAGTTGAGGTGCTCGAGGAAGAAGTTGAAATCTCGATGCACGCCATGGCTTGGATTAGAGGGCCATGGACGATTCGACTACCAGCTTGGGTCAAAGACCGTCGAGTGGTCGTACTCGTGGACAACGGGTCATCACACAACTTCATCATTGCCGACTTGTCTCAGAAGCTGAAGTTGTCGACCACGAAGATTGAGCTCTTTGAAGTTCGAGTAGCCAATGGTGAGAGGCTACGATGCATCGAGTCATTTCGTAGGGTACCGATCAAGTTCCAAGAGGTCACTGTAAAGGACGACCTCTATGCCTTGCCCCTAGTCGGACCCGACGTCGTTTTAGGAGTGCAATGGCTCGAAGGATTAGGAAAGGTGACCACCGACTACCGAACCGGGATTATGGAGTTCAGATCTGGAGGACAACGAGTCTCTTTAAAGGCTGGAAAGGAAAAGGGTACTAAGGAGGTTCGGTTAAAAAGCATCGAGAGGGTTTGGCGAGGAGGTGGCCAAATCTTTGTTGTGGTGTGTTTATTGTGTTTTTGTCATTATTTTCGTGTGTTTTATGTGTTTTATTTTATAGTTTTAGGCTCGTTTTTGTGTCGACCAGTCCATTTTATCAAGTTTTGTGTATTTTTGTTATTGTATAGTGTTTTCGTATTTTTGCGCGTTTTCTCTTTTGTTTTGGTGTTGAATAGGTCCAATGAGTTGAGAACGAGGAGATGAGCCGTCCGAGCTGACCAAGCCGTCCAACCCGGAAAATCCGACCAAGCCATACCAGGGCGAAGAGAATTCAATGAGGAGAATTTTGGTCCAACTTTCGTGCGAATTGGAGTTGTGTGCGAGAAATTAGAGCGAACTGAGCTTCAAGGGGTCACCGGGACCAAGCCAAGTGCACGCAGCGCGCCCGCGGAGAGCCCGGCGAGCTCGAGAGTGCCTTGCGTCAGTTGCCCGCGTGCTCGCGGACCTCCCGACGAGCTCGAGAGTGCTGCATCACCATGCCCACGTGCTCGCGGCAACTCTGGCGGCCTCGAGAGTGCTCCCATGCACGCCCCGCGCGCCCGCGAAGCCCCCGGCCACCTCGAGAGCCCCCTTTCGTGCCCTGCCATGCTTTGTCACTCGCGAGCTCACGAATTTCGTGGCGACCTCGTGAGTGTCTTATTAAATGTACGTGTTTTTAGTGTGTGTTTGTGGTGTAGCTATAAGTAGACATTATGCTTTGTATTTTTGCTATCAACTCTTGATATAGGATATTATCTGTATAAAGACGAACCAATTTGGTGAGCCGGTTGGGAAGAGCAGACCAGGAGCAAACCAAGCCGAAAGGCGGGAATCCAAGTGATCGAGCAGCCTAAGGCTCGACCACACAGGCAATCGAACAACCCAAGGCTCGACTGCACAGGCGATCGAGCAGCCCGATGCTCGATCAGACTGGTCGAGCTACCCATCAATCGATCAGATGAGTGATCGAACAAGCTGAGTGATCGAGCAAGCTGATCAACATAAGCCCAGACGCGTGTATAGCAGACGCGCGTGAGGATCTCTGACTGAGCTTCAGGAGAATATTTACCCCATGTGCCGAGTGGGCACGTGTCGACAAGGTATTGGGTGATAGCGATAACCACCTCTGACAGCGCCCAACGTCCCGCGGCACCTCTGACATGTGCGCGGCGTGTCAGAGTACGGACGGGCAGCTGGGGCAGCCCACGTAGCCTTATCCGGGCAGCTATTAGGGCAGGTATCTCACCCCTATATAAAGGGGGGTGAGTCTCTCTTTCTGAACACATTCTATTCATTCTCTAAATTCCAGTATATTCATACACATACTGACTTAAGCATCGGAGGCTCTTCACCGGACCCAACCCCCGGTGTGAGAGTTATTTGCAGGTTTTCGGTGTTCTACCGGCAAGGACAAGAACCGATCTACTCCAAACCGGACCCGGACGCTTACACTTGCATTATTGGCGCCGTCTGTGGGGATCTTTGTTCAAAAAGTTGTGTTTGAAGCTCAGCTATGGCGGGCGGAATCCCTAGAAATTTACAGTCGACGTTCGACGAAGCTTGGACGACGACCAGGCCATTAGGGCACGGCCCTCCTCTGAGTTTTTCTGGCCCATCGCAGACCCCGGTCACTCCCGCACCTAATTTCCAAGGTGTAGGAGCGACGACGGTGATTCCCGGCGGAGACGCCAGCTCCAGTCAGGCCCAAGAGGCTCGTTTAGCAGCGGCAGCGGCAGCAGCGATGCCACCACCACCACCACCAGATCCAGCACAACGGCAAGGAGGAGTGCAGGCACAAGAAGGAGTGCCACCGCAGGTAGCCGTACAAACCCCGGGCCAACAAGTGGTTACGATGACCCGGGAGGAGATGCAGAGGATAGCGGCGGCTGCGGCGGCGCAGGCGGTGCAGCAGGTCGCAAGTCACACATCGCACGCCACCACTGCGCCGGCAACGGCAACGGGGAACCAGGATGAGGATGTGTCTAGTTATGGAGAAGGAGGAGCTGAAAGAGATCAGACAATGGAGAGGATGGCGGAGCAGTTGCGTCAGTTGCAAGATAAGGTGGAGGGGAGGCCAGAGAGGAGAGCTCGAGGACATCCCTTTTCAAGGGAGATTCTCGCTGCTCCTTTGCCAAACAATTTCAAGGAAACCAACTTGGTGTATGACGGGTCATCTGACCCATCGAGGCATGTGAGGACCTTTGAGAATATGGCTGTGTTACATGGATACTCTGATTCTGTTTGTTGCAGGGCATTCTTGTCGACCTTACGCGGAGGGGCGCTTGACTGGTTTCACCAGTTACCTTCGGGATCGATTGCGGATTTTGAGGATCTTGCCAGCAAGCTCACTAATCAATACTCGAGCGCAGTGGCGCAAGAGAAGACTTATTTGACCTTGATGGCGATGAAACAGGGCGAGAAGGAGTCGTTGAGGAAGTATGTTGCTCGATACAATAAAACATGTTTGGAAGTGCACTCTGCTTCAGATGAGGTGAAAGCGGGAGGATTAATTAGAAGTCTTCGAGCAGGGCCCTGCCGAACTTCTTTGGCAAAGACCCCGGCTCGATCATACGAGGATGTTCTAAAGCGATGCAGGAAATACATTAATCTGGAGGAGATGGAGATGGAGTTTGCAAAGCTCGAAGGGGTGTCCCAACCAGAACCAAAAAAGGAGCAGAACCACCCGAGGGGGAGATCACCAAGGAGAAACTCGCCTAAGAGGAGCGAGCGGAAGAGAGCGTCTCCTCGAAGAGGGAGTGGGGACGCGAGAGGGGAGAAGAGAGATGAATGGCAGAGGAGGTCGATGGTGTTCGAGAGGCAGAGGTATCACAACTTTACTCCTTTGAGGAAAGATATGACAGAAGTGCTCGAGGCCATGGAGCGGAAGATGTCGACTGAGGACGTGACTTGGCCGAAGACAAGGTTCACCGGTCCACATCGTCCCCGGTCGGATTTGTATTGTCGATTTCACCAGCATTACGGCCATACTACGGAAAACTGCAGGCATTTGAAAGATGAGATTGAGAGGTTGATTCGAGCAGGATATCTGAAGGAGTTTGTCTATCACGACAGGGTGAGAGGAAAAGGCAGGAGGAGATGTAGAGATGATTCTGAGGAGAGGAGCGATAGAGATGGAGAAGGAGATGGAGGGGATGGTCGAGGAAAGAGGTCGAGAAAGGAGGGAGATAGAGAAGGGCAAGGAGGAGGAGCCCCGCCGAAGAGAGGAAAGATTTACATGATTTCTGTGGGGCCAACAGATGGTGACTCGAACAGATCGAGGAAAGAGCATGCGCGAGCGGTGAAGAGAAAGAGAGAGGAGGTGGGGATAACAACGCGCATGCCAGTAATAAGTTTGAAGGCGGAGGATGCCGAGGGGGTAGTTTTACCACACAATGACGCTCTGGTAATAACCGCGGAGGTCGCGGGTTTTGATGTGAAGAGGGTGTTTATTGATACCGGGAGTTCGGTGGATGTCATGTTCTATGATTGTTTCGTGCAGATTAACAAGGAGCTGAATGTGGAGCTGAAGCCAGTAGCCACGGCGCTTTACGGCTTTAATGAAGGAGAGGTTATGCCAATGGGGGAGGTCAGTTTGCCCGTGGCGCTGGGGTCAGGGGAGTTGAGGAAGATGCGCATGGTGAGATTCGTGGTGGTAGGGGCTGAGTCATCCTATAACATCATCATGGGGCGAACGAGCTTGAACGCATTCCAGGCAGTCGTGTCCACGTACCACATGACGATTAAATATCCGGTGGGCGAAAACGTAGGGGAGATTGCCGGGGATCAGCTCACTTCGAGAAGCTTCTACCAAACAACAGTTAGCAATAACAAACAATTGGCAAGGAGACAGGCCGAGTCGAAGGGAGAGGAAATCAATCGACCAGGAGGATCAAGGTCGAAGGAGGAGAAGAAAAAAGTGGAGAAAGGTAAGGAGAAGATGGACATCCAGCCTGGAGGAGAGGTTGAGGAAATTCAGATGATCGAGGAATGCGAGGGTAGAAAGTTCAGAATCGGGAAGGATCTGGAGGAGCCCATTCGGTCGAGGCTGATCGATTTGGTAAGGGAGTTCGCTGATATTTTTGCCTACACAGCAGAAGAGTTAACGGGAATAAGTGCGGAGGTGATCGAACATCGACTAAATATCGACCTCAGCGTGAGGCCGGTGAAGCAGAAAAGGAGGCACCATGGGGCGGAGATGGACAAGATTATCGAGCAGGAGGTCGAGAAATTGTTGGGAGCGGGGCATATTAAAGAGATTCAGTTCCCTGAGTGGCTATCGAACACGGTGATGGCGTCGAAGTCGGAAGGAAAATGGAGGATGTGCATTGATTTTCGTGACCTAAATAAGGCGTGCCCGAAGGACCTATATCCGCTGCCCAGAATCGACCAGCTGGTCGACTCAACGGCAGGGTGCGAGTTGCTGAGTCTGATGGATGCATCTCAGGGGTATCATCAAATCCCCTTGGCTAGAGAGGATAGGAAGCGGGTGAGTTTCGTGACGAGTCGAGGGACCTATTGTTATGTGGTCATGTTGTTCGGTTTAAAGAATGCGGGTGCCACGTATCAAAGGTTGGTCGATAAAATTTTTAAGGAGCAACTGGGAAGGAATATGGAGGTGTACGTGGATGATATGTTGGTGAAGAGTAAAGAGGAATTGGATCATGTGCGAGATTTGAAAGAAACATTCTTGACGTTGCGGAGATACGGGATGAAGCTGAATCCGGCTAAGTGCTCTTTCGGGGTGAGGTCGGGCAAATTTCTGGGCTATCTGGTGACCAAGAGGGGTATTGAAGTCAATCCGGAGAAGGTTCGAGCTGTGATGGAGATGAAGTCACCAACAAACTTAAAAGAGGTGCAGATTTTAGCCGGTCGAATCGCGGGGCTGAGTCGTTTTATATCGAAGGTGGCGGAGAAAAGTGGCCCATTAT